CGTCCTCAGTGTGGGACTTGTGGAAAACGCAGTTGGATAAGCTTTGAGTTTGTTAAAGTGTAGCTTCCTCAGGCCAAAGGCGCTGAGGAGAAACGCTTGCCCGTCTTTTATGGCTTCTCTTGGACTTGTTAGCTTCTATGCTCAAGGATCATTGGCGGCACTGCGTTTTTCACCCATTCAAGTACTTTGTCTCTTCCTGGTAAGACTCGATTTCACAGGACTGCGATGTTTACAAGCTATGAAAGTGTATGTTATGCATGCACGTAAATACTCTAATTTGCAGTTTCACTCCCCTTAGAGTGACTGAGATGTTTAAAAATCTGCATCAAGACTTCTCCTGCTGTGTAGACAATTCTCCAACTCTTTGCTCGGGCAGGCTTGCACCTGAGAGTGAGAACTTTTAATTTAAAACTTTATCACACATGCACCCATCCTTTTAAAGGAGGAATGGTCTCAGACAGGTGCGAGTGATTTGTGTTTATCCTTTTTATTTTGAGCCCCTTTGGGAAGAGCTCTCTATTTTGCGTTTAAAACGGAAGACAAAACATTTGCCTGTGACTTTTGCACGAGCCCGTCTGGCAAGATGGGTTGTTAAGTTCACTTCCCCACCTCCTTATTACTGAAGAGGGATGGCTGGAGGTGAGCCCCACGGTTACGCAGAGGATCAGTTTGCACCTGAGCTAAAGGGTCTATCTGGAGTTTTCAGTTGCCTTGCAGAGTCAAGTCTGCCCGAGTATCAGTGTGTCCCTCTAAGGACATGTGTGTGCCCTGATTGCAGTTTTAAATAGCCATCCATCTGGGCTGATTTTAATTTAGTTTTGCCTTCCGTACAAAAGCACAAAGAAAGGGTGGAAGAGCTACAACCTCAGCTGTCACTTACTATCTATTATAGTGAAGCAGTGCTGACAATTTTCAGGAGTGAGTTTCCTCAAGCTTCACCGAAACTTCCAGAGCATTTCTCAGTCTTTTAATACTGACTACTTTTGTGCTAGTACCTGCAGTCAGCCAGACTTTCCTTTCTCCTCACTTCTTTCCCAATACAAATTACTTCCCTAGGGCCATCCAAATCCAGGGCTTATCTTGGAGGAAAAGAAATCAGAGTGCTTCAAAACCCAGTTATCATCAGGTGAATAATTCCATTGAATGATGAATGCAGCAAGTATCTCATCTACTCAGAAGGGTCCCAAGTTTGATTTTGTTTTTCTTTCCCCTCAAGAATATGATGCAGAAATTTCCTCTAATAGAGCAATTAGAGTGAAAGTCTCTTCAAATCCCGAAAGTAAATGCTCAGAAGTTCCTGTTGGTGAGCAAGACGTTCACCAATGTGCCACAGTCGCCATAGTGCCACAATGCAGGAGATAAGGATGTGTCAGGTTCAGGACAGAGGTGCTCGTATCTGGTCCATCTCTCTGCTCTTGGGACTGATCTACACCTTTCATTTTGCATGATGCCTACCTCCATTTAGATATGCATCCAGTCTCTAGGAAATAACAAGATTTGCGGTGAACTCTAGCCCTTTCTAATGTCAAGGAACTGTCCTTCAGAATTCCCACAGTGCTGTCACTACGGTCAAGGAAAAAAACTGTATGTGTGCTCTTAGGTGGATGACTGACTGCTCGTGCAGTCAGCAAGAAAAAGCAAAGGACTTTCAGAAGTCCTGGAACTTCTCAGAGCTATTCTGGAACCGTACCCTATGCCCGTCTCTGGAGTGATTCCTGAGTTGCACCTACATTTGTCAGTTAATCTTTTTAAATTCATATGCAGTGCCAAGAGACAAGATACCTACTTCTGACATCCTCAGAGCCTTGCTGTTTCCTGTTAACTTGACAGGACCAAAACTCTTAGACTATCTCCTGTCAATTTTATGGCTGTCCCTGGTTTGTTAAAATGCCATGTTATCTCATTGCAGGGGATCTGAGAGCATCGCGCAGCGTCTCCACCTATCATTTCTTATCTGCCTTGAGGTGTATAGGAGAGGTTGCTGCATTTCATCAGGTTACACAGGCTGTGGCTTTCCACAGGGGTGCGGTAATACTTGACATCAGCAGCCGCGTGGAGAAAAATGCTGTTTGGCACGCGGTAAACCCTTGTCTCTTGATCTTGTGATGTTTTAGGAGAGCTTTCCTTCGATCTTGTTTTAACAAAGGCAACTGGCACCCTTTGCCTTTACTGTCAAGAAGGCTGCAGCTGCCAAACGCCTATAGCAAGATCCAGCTGTGGTGCATGCTTAGAATAAGACTCATTCACAGTAATTGATCTCTTCTGAGTAGGTCTTTCCAGTCAGGGTGGATTTCCCAATATGCTCTGTGCCTGTGCTTTTGAAGTTTCTGGCTCCCACAGAGAATTTGAGAGCGATGGATAAGACCAGCCTTTTGACCTTTCAGCCCTGTGTAGAAAGACAAAGTGATACAGGCAGAACATCCAATTAAAGTGGACAGTGATACTATATCTTTCATACCTGAGGTATATGGATGCCTATATTGGTGCTGCAGGAGAAATGCCTATTTTGTCATATAGGTCATGCTAGTTGTCCTTTGAGGACCTCTGAGAGCTCACCTGAAGCCGTGCCGTGCCAGAAAACTGTTGGTACAAATCCAAAGAAAGTCCAAAGCAAGAGTTTATGGCTCCTGCCTAGTAATGTTAAAACTGTAGAAGGAAGCAGACAAGGTAACTGATTCGTACATGCACTGACCAAAAAGATTGGTTGAACGTGCGCATGGCTGTCATGAGTTATAAATCTAGAGATTGTGTGCTATCTGAGCAACTTCACAACTTGCCTAGTTTTTTAATGCGTTGAATATATTGGCTTTTTACAGGTAACGCAAAAGGAAGAGAATTGTTCCTTTAGAGGATTAAAAAAAGTTACTTAGTCTGTGTTCCCATAGAAGCAAGCATAATGCCAGAGCGCCTTAACAAGCAAGTCACTGTTTGTTCGATGACAGACTTGGTGCTAATTTTGCTGCTGTCTGTTCCCGTTTGTGTCTCGGCGTTGCGGATGAAAGCAGCAGAGCAGTGATTAGCCCAGACCCTGCTGAAAAAACAGTGGGTTCTGAAGAACAAGAGAGCGAGAGTATATTACCCTCTGGCGTTTTTATTTTATTTAGCAGGTAAAACTGTTCATTGAACCAGAGTTCATTTACAGCGGCACCCCAGCAGACTGCAGCAGCAGTATGAATTACCAATCACTCGCAGTGCAAACAGGAATCACTCAGACCCTGGATCGCCTGTACTCGGGAGTTCAGGTCTCTTGTGCTGCACCATAGGTAGCTACCTGGGCCTCTCCCTTGCCTCCAAAATCCTGCCAGGCATCCCAGAGTGATCTGGTCCCTGTTTTAGTCCCCAAATCATATTTATATATACGCTCCTTATGGCATTTGGCATTTGACTCTAATCCTGTTAGCCGGAAGCTGGGGAGACCACAAGACTAGACCCTGTTAGCTATCAAATTAATGGAAATTGGAGCGTGTGCTTGCTTTGAGGATATATTTTCTTCTCAGGAGCTTTGACTTGTAGGATCACTGGTGAGATACCATCAGGAGTCTTAACTAATCCTCTAATGGATAGCACTGGTGGTGAATAGATCTATTTATAACAATTAGCCCAGTAGTTCACCAAAAGGCTACTTTTACCTGATAAGTGTGGTGGGTTTTTTGTTTTTTTTTTAATGTTGAATAGGATTTTCCTCCCTTTGCTTCAAAGCTGGTGGCTCTGCAAACTTGAGAACCTCATGGTGAGGCAGTGTTCAACCTAATCTCGTTAAGTGCTGAGCTAACGTCGGGCCTGCCTCCGCTGCGTGCCAGCGCTTAGCTAGTTCGGGGCTAGCTGTCTGTCTTCCGCTCCCACACTGACTGCGGGTGTGCGACGCCCTTTGAAGTGGGTGTATTCTAGTCACCGAGTTTATTAAAAATGCATGTGCTAAATGGTGGGATAATTACGGCAAGTTTGTCCGAGGATGGATAGCAGCAGCGAGAGAAACTGAAAAATGTGTCTGAGAAAAGATATTGGCTGTCTTCAGACAAAACAGTTTGTGCCCGCCAGTTTGGCAGTGTATACTGCAGCACAGCTCGGAAAGAACAGATGTGGGACACATCTGGGAAGCGTGCTTCAACCTCTGCTTTGCCAGTACTGCTGCCCTCGCCCCAGCGCTCCTCCAGTTGAGGTTTATCGTTACTATCTCATTCCTGTGGGATTTCCTCCTCTCTCCTCCTAGCTGAGTGGCTTTGGGGAGGGCTTTTCTGGAGGGTGCGTTTGTGCTTGCTGGTCGCATCGGGAGTAGGGTCTGGCGGGTGGAGGTTATCTCCTCTCCGCTGTCTGGGACTGGCACTGGGTTGTTGCCTGGGGGTTGCCTCACTGGTGTGGCAGGCCATTTGGTTGCGGACGAGCAGGATGTATCTAGTGGGAACGCTATCGATTCATAGGAGGTAAACAAACGCTGTCTCTCTGATCTGAATAACAGCAGGGCCAAAGCCCTCTGTCTCTTTCCCCTCTGAATTTGGTGTATTTGCTATTGCTTTCTAATGGTGGGTAAGACAAAACTACTTTTTTCCTCTCTTTATTTTACTTGTCTGAAATCTGCTGGCTGCGTGAGAGGTTGTGCGGCCTCGGAGCTGGAGAGGTTTTGTCATGTTGATTAGTCAGTTTAGTTAAGGCACTAGAGACCTTTGCCATCTGCTGCCAAGAGATGAAAATGATTATTATTATTATTTGCCCACTTCACAGGCGGACTGCAAGGATTAATTCATGTTTGTAAATTGCTTGTGAGATTTAAAGCTCCATACAAGCACTAAAGATTATTGCTTTCTAATTCTTTAAGGTAATATAACTTTTATAAGGACTTTCAGCCTTGAAAGAATCTTGGAAATGAGAAGAGTTAAGTCCCTTTGAAATTAGATACACTTCTAATGTTCAAGATAAAAAGCAGCCACTTCTCTGCTGCTGTAGAGGAGGGTGGGGGGGGAAAGCGAAGGCAAATTCTGATAGTACCTCTTCTTTTTTTCCAGGAGTCCAATGTGCTGATTGCTGCTAACAGTCAGGGTACAATTAAGGTAAGTTATTTCGTGCTTCTTCTCTTTAAACGCTTAAATCTGCTAATAAAGTTCAAGGTCACAGAAAGCGTGCAGCCAGGAGAAACCGTTAGAGGAGGTCATCCCAACTGTGAGTGTTTGTAATTTAAATGATATATTTGCTTCTGGCACATGGAGGCACAAGCAGACAGCACAAAAGCAATGAAGCCAAATTAGAGGAAAGGTGTAGAAAAGATGCTGGCAGCTGTCCAGCAGCCACCCTGCCTCTGCCACTCCTTGGGCAGCTATGTGCTGCTTAGATTAAACAAGGGCCCAGTGCTAGTCTTATGTACGTCATGTTTTCCTTGACAGATAATAGGTGCAGTGTCTTAGCTGCCGCAGCAGCCACTGGATTTCTGCATTGGTTTAAAAGCAACTGCATGGCACTGGTTTGAAAGGTTTTAAATTAGTGCTGTCTGCCGCAAACACCTACACGCGCACACGCTCACGTTTGCACGCTGATTTTTGTGGCAGGAAGCAAAAGGTGAGGAGGCTCTGTGTTAACTCACTGGCATTAGCCAAACGCCCTCCTCTGACTGCTGCTGCCAGCATGGGCTGCAGCAGTGTTGAAAGCAGAGCTCTTGATGTGCAGCCTGCTAGAGCAATGCTGGAAACACGCACGGATGCTCCCTTGCTTTGCTTGCTGCTAGCACAGGGACCTACTCTGACAGACAGCAGCTGCCAACCTAGGTTCTTTGGAAAGCAACAGGCTTCACGTTATACCGAGAAGCTTGTGTTTTGCCAGGCTTTGAACTCTTTGAGAAAAGTAAGTCTTGCAGAGTGTCAGTGCAATGCACGTCTGTCCCTGAAACGTAGAGTAATTTGCGGAAGACTTTGTCCCCCTTTATGTATGTCTATCAAACGGATTCCCGAGCAAAAAGAGTAACCAAACGCGGGCTGGTGCTGCGTGCTCCAGAGAGCATCAGTTCCGAGATGGTCTCAAATTGTGCTCAGCAGCATTTGAGGTTTGGTGGTTGACACTGCAGGCTTGCAGTCCAGAGCTTTGACAGTTTTCTGTAACTGCTGATAAAGGGTTTTACTTGCCATCTTTAAAGTCATGCACTGGTTTCTTAATCTCATGAAATTGAGGTCCTCTTCCTTCTGATTCTGCACTGCGTCCCTGTGACGATAGCAGTTCTCTGGAACCAGACAGGATTTGATTCAAACCAGTCTTGAACAGTCCTGAAAAAAGTCACAGAAAAAGCAGAAATGGGGAAGAGTCCTAAGTGGTTTGTATTTGATAAGCGTCAAGATATTTTCTCCTCCTTTGTAGGCCACTTTTAACTGATAGAGTGGCATGGTTACTTCTGCTACTGCAACGTGTAGTACTCTAGTCTCTTGTTCCTAGGTGATATATTTAGCAGGTTTTGGAACTGGTTGCTTACTACTTCAGTCACTTGCTGCTTACTAAATAGGCAAAATGCACAAAAGCTTATGACACCTTTAACTGAATCCAGCAGCAACAGTAGAGTGATTATAAAGGAGAGGTTTTGCTCATGCACTTCGCTTGTTAATGAGAGGAGGCAGAGAGAGAAATGTGTAAACAGCCAAAAGTTATTAGAATTCTGCTATTTCCATTTGAATTTATCAGAACATAGTGGGGAAGGTGTAACGGTCTGACAGTGCCTGGAAAAGGATTGGGTTTGCTGTTACAGGATGGGTACAAACTCAGTCTAACTTGGGGGCAGATGCCGTATCTGTCAATATCCATTGAGATTTAAGGCCCCTTATAACTCTCTGCAGTAAAGCCACACCTGACACATACAGCTGCTCTAAGTCACTGAGAAGATAACTATTCACCTAATAATTTTTATTCCCCCATTTCTAGTGGGGGAGATCAGGCAGTCAGACTACTGCACTATGTTAGCATGGAAAATTGAATGTGAGCGCAAACCGAAAGGGCTGAGAAGAGCAAATCTTTGATCTCTATTACAAGATTTCAGATAGCTGGTTTACTGGGATCAGTGAAAATGAGGCAACTGGACAGTCTGACATCATGCCATGATTTATTACAGTGCAAGCAGGCATCAAAGCCAGGGTTCTTGCCAAGCACTTATCACATTTGTATGACATTGTTGCGTGCTGGGTGACTAAAGGGTAGAGATGGAAGGGTCAATCCCTGTCCTAATGATCTATATGCTGATGCAGGAGACAATGAACGTCATAAATTCCTATTCTAAATGTCTTATCTTCCCCGTTAATCAGGTACTGGAGCTGGTATGAAGGGTTTTCTCTCAAGGCATGAGGTACTTGGTCCTGCTGATATGCTACAGCGTTCGTCTGGGATCCTCAGTGGGACAAGAAACCGAAACCACCTTGATGTTCCTCCCCAAAACCGTCATGTTTGGGTTTTTTCCATTTATGGACATTCTAGGACATTTGAGACACTGGGAACACCAGTGAACTGTCTGCCATCAACATTAACTCCACAGACTTTGCTGCTGCTGGTGGTGGTATGGTTGTCTAATTTTTATGATAGGAAAACAAATTCTTTTAAATAAAAAGAAAAAGGAATAATAAAATTTATTGAGCCACAAGCTGAAGCTGGAAGATTCTCTCTTGTTGCATATGGGAACAGATTAACTTGGGAAGGGAGCTTACAGGACCACACAGGGCTGTTCTCAGTTGCGCATCTCCAGTTACTTTTATCTGGACTATTCCATCATCCCTATTGGAAAAAGAAAGTCTCTAAGCCTTACCTGGACATTTAAGCAATTTGCTTTGAGATCATATAATGATATGGTTTAGTTGTTCCTTCTATTTTTTTTTTTTTAGATGCATTAAAGGTGTCAGCCAGGTTGACACCTTTGGAGACTGAAGTCCTCTGGTTATGAAGAAGAGAAGGGCAGCTTCCCCTTCCTTCTGTCCTTATGCATCTGCCTCAACCTGAAGGGGCTGCTCCTAAGGAGAGGAGTAATCTGTCCTTTTGTCCACCTGAGCCTAGGCCTCTGCTGCCTGCCAACAGAAGTGTGTTGAGATGAAGTGAACTGCGGTTGCCTGGGACCTGGACTGACCTCACCAAAATGTCATGGGATAATGACCTCATCACCACTGATCTGGCTGTGTTTGCCTATCTCAGCTAGAGGAGAAAGTTTGTAGATCCACTTACCAAAGCCCTGCACCACTTAACCTCCTACGTGGTCTAATTACGTTTGCCCCTCTCTGCAAATCATCTGTGGAAGCCGAGCATTTCGAACGTTGTAATAAGAGGGGGAATGGAATTGGTTTGTAATGTGTTTCAGAGCCATGATATAAGTAGCCTTATTTTTAATGGTCATGCATACACTTAATTGTACATATGGAGGGGGAATAAACCATGATGCTAAGAGTTGTTGTTACTTTATTGGCAGAACAGCAGGGAGGGAAGAAGACGCAGCTGGTCTTTGTGAATGGCAGTCATACTGAGCTGCCAGTGTTGCCACCAGCATTTTTTTAAGCTGGAAAGTGGAATTAGTGGGCGTAGTGTCTATTTCTAGCTGTGTGTGGCAAAGGTACATTACACACAGTGATACCTGTAGGAGGTGTTTGAATTAACAAGTGGAATCTCTGAGTTCGTTCATTCTGGTACTCTTCTCCTCTGTGCCTCTGAGGCTGGGATTTCTGTGGTGGCTTTTGGCCTTGCTTTGCTCACGTGGAGAATTACTATGTTCTTTGGCTACCTACCAAGCAGCTGTACTGATGGCTCCGGAAAGGTGTCTCATGTCCGCCAGAAGTTAAGTGACTGTGACCCTGGAAGGGTTGTGTGATCTTTGGCATCCTTTTGGTCACAGGGCAGAGAAAAAAAACAAGGGTGGTCTTGGGGGGGATGAAGAAAGGAGCAGGGATTAAGCCATACAACAGAGTTGGTGACTGAATCCTGTCCTGGCTCCTTTAACACTTGTGCCTGTGTCCACAGGGGAGAGCTATGACTTGGTTTGAAAGGGTATGGGACACTTGAAATTGCTGTTGACCTCTGGAGGATTGTGCCCAGCGGGGGGAAAGCTGAGGATCCTCACCTCTGAAAGCCATATGGATACCACTCGCTGTGTCCTGTTTTGCTTCTGTGGTTTCTGACGTACGAGTAGGGATACGAGAGCAAAAAAGGGGAGAAAAAGAGCAAGATGATGTATGTCCTGCTCTGAGATGCTATCTTCAGGTCCTCATCATATGAGTCACCAACATTACTGTGGCAGAAGGAAATGAAATTGGTTCCTTCTGTCTCGTGGCAG